TTATACCTTCAAGGCTATATAATTTACAAATCTTTACTTGACTTCATTTTTATCAATGGCATCCCCTTCTTTTTCTTTATTCCTTTTATATTTCCTCACTTTCAACAATTCCATATTAAATAGTCATTCCCTGTTAATCTTGGGTCCAATTTTTATCATACATAATCAGCGATACACATCTGATTCTTTAAATTCTAGCCACTTTCCCCATGTTTGAAAAAAAAAAAAACAACTTATATTTATCCTGCTTCATCTTCACCAACTCTTCCATCAACCTAATTGAGTCCAGTTTTGCAAACCACTCAGAGATGGAAGGAATTTTAGTTGTGTCCCAATTACTCAGGATCAAAGATTTGGCTGCATTTAACATATGGGGTATTAGGGACTTTTTGTATACCTTAACCGATTCTGTTGTGAGATGAAATAGGAACACCCAGGGATCTATGGGTAGCTGTACATCACAGATTTGCCTGATGGTATTCCTCACCGTTCCCCAATATGGTCTTATCTTAGGGCAATCCCACCATATATGTGCAAAAGTTCCCTTCGCTCCACATGCCAGCCAACAACATGATTCATTTGTGTAATGTATCCTTTGTAATTTCTGCGGGACATGATACCACCTTGTTAACAGTTTATAGTCTGTCTCCATTTTTTTTACATCTATGGTTGTGGCGTAACTAAACTTAATATTTTTCTTTCCTCTTCTTGTGTAAGCGTAAACATACATTCCCTTTCCCATTTTCTCAGGTACGCAGGTGTTGTTGCGCTTTCCTTTGTAATAATCGCTTTATAAAAAAGTGAAAGACAATGTTGTGGTGCCTGTTTAGCTCCTAAGATGGACTCAAACTCTGTTAATTCACTACCTGTTCTCAAGGGTTTAGGTAAAATTTGGATAAAATGCTGTAATTGCTGATATCTCCACCAATCTAACGCATAGGTTCCCCGATTGCTCCCTCAATTCCTGCAGCGAACATATTGCAGTTCCTGACATAATGTCCTTCACTTTTAGACTAGGCAACTTACTCCAATTTAGATATGCAGAATCAGATTTCCCTAGCGGGAAATACTCATTCCCCGGTAGTGGCATAAGGATCGAGTTATACAACCACCCATATCTACAGCATAACCGATCCCATGTCCTTAAAGTTGATATAGTAAATGGTAGTGTATTTGTGGACATATGTCTCTTTGATGGTGGTATCCAAATCATCCCCGCAAGGGTAGTTTCGCTTAATACTGTCTCCAGCAGCACCCAGCTTTTCTGTCCTATCCCGAACGTCGAATCCGCTATTCTAATCAGTTGGGCCGCTAAGTGGTAAATCCTGAAGTCAGGAAGGGCCAATCCTCCCTCTCGTCTCGTTCTGCTCAGGGTATTCCCTGATAATCTCAATTTCCTATTTTGCCATATATATTTAGATATAACCTTCTGCAATGTTTGAAAAAAGGTCCTAGGTATCTCGATAGGTATCATCTGGAATACAAATAATGCTTTTGGGAGGGTCATCATCTTTATTGCATTAATTCTACCCACCCATGAAAGCTTCCATAAAGAGAAGGATGTTAAATCTGATTTAACTGTGTTTAATATCGGGATATAATTAGATTGGTATAACTCCGTAATTCTAGGTGTTAAATTAATTCCCAAATATTTAAGCATCCTTATCTTCCATCTAAAAGGAAAATAGGAAATCAGCGCCTGTCTTTCTCTTTCTGGCACTGTTATGTTTTGTGTAATTTTCAAGCAGTTTGTAATTGTGGATAAATCTACAGGAAAAAAAAGAAAGCCTTTTAATATGCATTTTTACTGCTACAATAATATTCTCACCAGTCATTTAGTTGTTTATTTCTTCTCCTGTCATGAGATATTCTTTCTGACTCTGCATTTAGTGAATGATTTAACACACCAGGAGCTTTAACTGGAAGAAGATATCCTTCTACCAGCTCTGTAATTGTATGTGCCTTGTAACTTGCTACTCATAGGATGTGCCAAGCCAAGAGATTAAAGGATTTCTGGCGAAGCACGTGTTTGGTTCATAATATTTTTGTGCAATGTGTAAGACTTACTTTGGTCTTATTCGAATAAAAAACAGATAGACATCCTTCATTAAAGGCAGCAATTATATTGATCAAATATAAATGCATATGCTCAGAAACCCAAAGATTACTTACCTATAGAAGTGTGAGTGAAAGCTTGGGCTCCATACACTTTGCACTTTTCTGCACCTCCTTAACCCCATTCATTATAGTTATTCTAGAGATGGAAAGTTGCATACTACATAGCTGGACATGAAAATGTTTGTCCATAGAAAGAATGTGAGTCCTAGTGAATAAGTTGGTGGTGGAGTTGATGTGGTCCAAAGTTTACAGTTTCTACCATACATGATAGTCTCACAAGCTGTAGTAACATTGACCTTTTGACAGGTCTCATTGCTCTTTTGACTAGGGAGGAAGTGTGACACAGATAATGACTGCTTGCAGCTACAGTGATTTGGGACTTTGCATGGTCTGCCTGCATACTTAGCACAAGGACACATCTACCCAATACAGCCTCTTTAAAGTAAATCTTATCTGGCAGCAACATGAAGAGTTCCATTCTAGCCTGTTAAAAATATCACTTGCCTAGGGACTGTGCTGATCTATTGACTTCTGAGCCATATATCTGGAGCAAGTACTTATATTGGGAAAGTCAAAGTAAAGGCAAAAGTTCTTATTTGCATATTTGTTCTTAGTCAGTGACCCAAAGCATTGAAGCCAGAGGGTGAGCATGACAGTAAAATAGCTTCTTTAGATTAGGATCCCACCCTCATGTTATTTCTCAAGCCAGATTTTCTCTACACGACCCTTGTGTCATTCCCCCCTGATGACAATGTCCAATTTAGACACAACGTTATTGGTTTACTAAAGGAATAAAACATGTTCACCTTGTAAGGGAATTTTCACTTGGCTCAGTGTATATGGTGAAAATTTACTTTGCAAAGAATACCCAATGACATGCAAAACAAAATAAAAAACAAGGATTTTGCTTGCACATGATTGGATGATTAAAGTCAGCACAGCTTTCCCGCATTCACTAAACTAAGAGAAAATTTGTCTACTAAACATGCTCTACTCCATGCTCAGCCCCATAGCTTCTCCGTTGCACATCTCCGTACCCACACTTTAACAAGCTGTTAACCCTTGCAGTGCTGGGGTAGCCCCAAAGCAAGGGTTAATTTCCGAAAATCCTAGATCCTTCTTCAAATAACCAATGAAACTCAATTTTAGCTAAGCAATATTTGATGTATTAGTTCCATGATTTTATGAGTACATGTTACCTGTTGGATGGTTATGAGTCATTCTCCCACATTCAATGCTAACTTCAATCAAGGTCTCCAGCCTTTCTGGTTTCCAGTATTTCATTCCAATGCACATGGCTTTAGTAGCTGCTCCAAATCCTGAACCTAAAACAAACCAAAAATACGATAGTGAATTGATATTTCATCAAGGTAATACAAATGTCTAAATTCAACTAACTATTCCTTTTGTTCTGACTGAAAAATATATTTCACCTCTTAAAGCTGTATGGCCAAGAAAAAGCCTGGTAATAAATCTAGGCCATCCCAAATGTTTGTATTATAATTTACAAATACAGAATTGCTCTTTGTAAATGGACTAGATTCATGTATGTATTGCTTATTACAGCTGAAATCCATATAAAAAAAATCCATGTATCACAGCAATGTATTTGTTTAAAAAATAATTACTATTTATTTTAAATTACTGCTAGTATAGTATCCAAATGTGCCTCTGTTAGTTTTTTGCAATCATCTTCACAAGAAGAGTGGAAAATGCTGCAGTTAGAGCTAATCAAAGCTCTATTGCCTTGCACATTGGTGTCATCCTAACATTGTATACAAGCTTAAAAAAAGGGAAAACAGAGATTACCTCATCAATGTGCTGCTGCTCTGGCATTGTCCAGTAAACAAGCTGGGGGTAGGCAGGTGAAACCCAAAAAAGAATCAGGTGCAGGGGTGTCACTATAATGAGGCGTTTGCCTTAGGCGGCATCTTATTTGGTCATGTGGGGGGGGGAGAAGCGGCAGGTATGCCTGCTGTCCCCTTTCTGGCCAGAGCGTCCCAGGTTGCTAAGAGCTTTCACCAACCTGTGATGCTCTAGTGGGCGTCTGGCCCAGCTCGTGGCAAATAGTGATGTCAGTGAGCCCGGCGGGAAGCCAGATGCCACCCCCTGTACCGCCCTAGGAAACATGCACCACTCGCAACCCCCCACATAATGTGAACCATTAGCACATCACTAATAATGTGTATTATAATAAATTCCTGCAACATGCATTATTAATAAATCTTAATACAAAAAATGGCATAATCCTCTGAGCTATGCAGGACAGCATAGGACTCATTCCTCTCCTGTCATTGGACAGTTTCCCACACTGCTGACTAGGCTCCTCCCCCTGCATTGACGTCAGCATTCAGCTCGGACACCCCTCTCCTACTCAGCATTTCCCGCACAATAGGGCCCCTCCCCTGTGATGATGTCTGCTTTCTGCTTGGGCGCACATGGGACAGTGTCAGGTAACGCTTACATGTTGGTAGATCTGAAGTCACTGAAGTTACTGCTTTTTTTTTAAATAAATTCTTTATTTCAAGGTTTTTCATCTTTTTCCAAAAAGTATAAGTACGGGTAATACAGGTAATAACAGCATGACACAGATATAACAGCATATTCTGTGGTTATAATGTCACCATCGTAAGAAGCGTACATAATAGCCATCAGTAACTATTTTAAGTCTCAGCGGAAGATACCCATGTGGAATGGTCAAACATACCCAGAAGCATAGGGGTATCGCGTATAAACATTAGGTAGTATAAAGTGCATCTGAGATTGGTGTAAGTCACCGTATAACTGCGCGGGCCCAGGTGAAACCAGGGGACCCCGCGTCAGTGCCATCCCCTCTATCTTCCACTGTTGGTTATCTAAACAGACCACTGAGATATTACCAGAAAGGAAGGGTAGGGTAGAGGGGGCAGGGTAAGCCAGCAGTGGGAGAGAAAAAAAAAAGGGGGGGGGGAGCAGAGCAGGTAGGAGGAAAGGGCGGTACAGAGGTATAGAGAGAAGAGGGGTGGGAAATAAGGTCAGTGGGCCAGTCCCCAGACATCCATCACTGCGTGCTCGGTCGCTTCCTGCCTCATGGGGGAACCCTATAACATGGCATGAAATTCGGATGTCTGCGTAAAAGTGGTCCAATAGAACCATGTCCTGCAGTGCTTGGCTTGTTGGCCCCGTCCAGACCAGACCAGGTCCTCCATTCTCTCCACCTCTCCAACTTTATGAAGCCACATGGACATCGTGGGCGTCTGGGGTGATTTCCACAGTGCCGGAATACAACAACGTGCTGCGTTCAGGAGGTGTGGGAGGATAGACGCCTTATAGCTTTTCCTGGGGAGGGAGTTGTGATGAAGGAGAAAAAAGGCTGGGTCCGGAGGGATTTCCCTATCTGTAAATTTGCCTAGTAGGGGCTTAACTGAAGACCAAAATGGGGTCACTCTGGGGCAGGTCCAGAATATATGGAGTAAATCTCGCGGAGCTTCCTGGCAGCGCCAACAACTGTTGGAGTTACTGCTTTTTAATATGAGGTAAGAGATCAGCCCTTGCTCCTTATTGGGTCTAAGCTTGTCCTATTCAGTGTCATTAGGGCTTTCATTGGTGTACTATATAACAGTGGATTGGTAGCTTTGTGTTGATTGCAAATTGGTTGATTGCCACACGAACTCCACACAGTAAATATCTTTGGGCCTTTCTATAGTATACCAGCTCTGAGTAAGGGGGAAGCTCCCCCGAAACGCGTCAGACAGTTGGTCTTCTCCGGGACCCGCTCTGTATTCCCATTGCTCATTCCGCTATACCTCTATGTGAGTAGTTTTTATTACTTTTTAATTCTCCATCCAATAAACGTTAATACACTAGGAGAAGGCGCTATTTGTTTTATTTTGTTTTATATGTTTTGTGAGGATACTTCCCAGTGACCTTGAGGACGGCAGCCTTCTCCCTCAACATCCGATGTTGAAGAATTGTTCATGCTGAGCGCTGTTGTGTACTACAATTTTTTACCTCTGACATATGCATGAAGACCTCTAACCCTAATAAGTCACCTCGAACCTGCTTTTATACACTTGTTGATAGGGGCATGGCATAAAATTAAGAACCAAATACCAACTTAATAGCTGTTCTTTACTGTTTCTCCCACTTTGGGTTAACTCTTGTGGTTATAATGAGGTGTGAGCCTATTAATATGAAATATATCTAGCTTGAAGCAAATGCAACCCTTCATTTAGTTCAGTTTGCCAGGTCTCTTCAAAATTCCAAAAACCAGAGATCTGTTAATCTGGGTTTGTAATCTTTATAGCTCTTAGGCGAAGCACTAAAACCTAATAGTTTATCTAGAGTTTCCGCTGGACCTGCTGTGGACTGGGATAAATTACTCCTTTATGAGAGTGTCGCAAATCGCTAATGCATGGTAATGGCTTTGCCCAGCTCAGCTAATCACCTAATAAATTAGCCATTGAAAGCTTTATATAAACACAAGCAGGGCCTGGGAGAGTTAATTACCCAGGTAACCCAGCAGTCAAAAGTCAGAAAACTGAGTTAAAATATCAACTCAATTTGGAATTTGAGAGTGATATTGTAAAATGAATGGCACAAATAGCGGTGTCTCATCGAGACAGAAACAGACATAGCAAAAATAGTCCATGTTGGATATGAATAGTCAATTATCCTCTTAGCTATGAATTTAACCGTTTGGAAGGAACAGAGCAGGACATCGTAAAGGCTCATCCCTCCTGCTCTCCCTCCCTAGCCCTGCCTTAGGGGCCGGCTCCTTGACACCCCCTAGAGAGCTGACAAAAAAAATGCTGCGAGCAGCTAGAAAAGGCTCTTGTTTTGTAACATCAAGAAAAGGAACTCCTGCAACATCAAGAAGATTGTATCATCCAGGAAGAGTTCCCCTTTAATATCTGGATATCATCTGTGCAAGAGAGCCATTCAGACCCCTCTGCTGTTTATTGTACTGGACTCTGTCAGAACTCATAGAGCCAGGACTGTTAAGTATTCTCTTTTTATTCCCTTTTTATTATTTTACTGTTGTTATATATTTTATATCTCTTTATTAATATCTTATTCTGTATAGTTTCCCGCACCATTTCTTTTAAGGGCGGTCTTAAAAATTGTTAAGCTTATCTCTATGCTCTAAATAAGAACTTAAAGTATCCTTGCCTCTGTGAAGAGCGCTTCTGTATACTGAGACCTGACATATTCCTGTCTGAAAGGACAGCGGTATCATAGGCTTTGTTTAAGTGTTTTGAATTGTCACAGCATTTGCTGGACTCGGTCCGTGTTTTCCGTCAAAAACACGTGGTGGCAGCGAACGATTGGTTCGTAAAGGGTTAACTGCAGGGTTAACCAACCCTAGTGACGATCACATTCAGTCTGCTGGCATGAGATTGTTGTCCTACGTTGTCCCCGTGCGTACGTCACAACACTGACCACTAAAATGTAACCAGAAATAGCACCTACAAAAATGTATGTAATTAACAACTCAGAACTTTTTAACTCTACCTACCACAAAGAAACTCCGAACCTTCAACAGAGCATTGAAAACATGCCCCTGTGTCAACTCAGAACCCTTTGTATTTCTGCAACCACATTCATATATTGATGTCATCCTTAATCCCCTCCCCCCACCGATTCCATAGACCAGATGCTTACAGAACCCAAACCTGACAAAAAAGTGATATTGTAGGTATATGCACGCTACGCAAACGACTGGACTATCAGAAAGTCCCACAATATTAAATGAATTTACTTAATAGTTCCACATTGAGAACACAAATGATATTCTCACCTCTATAAACACATCCTGGAAATCTGTCACAGCAACTTCATAAAGAAAGATGATGTTAAAAATATACCATCAGTTGTACACCTCACCACATATCTCCTATCTCATGGGACTTAGCCAATCACCTAAGTGCTTAAAATGTGATTACTCACCAGCCTTTTGGACATGTCCTAAAAATACAATGCTTCTGGAGGATAATTGTTCAGAATACTATGAATCACTTAGTGAACTATTTACTGTTAGCAGAATGGGCAGCATTTGGTATGTTGGACTTACAGGTAATAAGAATAAATAAAGGTTGTAAAAAACTGCCAGGAAAGCAACTCTGCAAAAATGTATATCATGAGCCTCAAACACTTGGTCTGTTTGTAAGAAATGTGTTGTGCAAATGCATTAGCTTACGAATATACATGGTATTGTATAGATTTCTTTGTTGAATATATGCAGTACTGGATGCAACATAGAACATTCAATTCTAAGAGATATTACCCTTAGAACATTCAATCCTAAGAGATAATAACCTAAGAACATACAGTCCTAAGAGATAATACCCTAAGAACATTGGATCAGAAAAGAAAATACCCTAATAACATAAGCTACCACTTTCACACTATGCAGAAAACTTGTTTTCAGTCATTTCTGTATTTATGCTCTAAATAGCACTCATATTATTTGATTAATTCTCAATAAAAAAAGTTTAATTCAAAATAGAAATAGATTTTTTTTTGTCAATCTTGTCATTTAAATGGCATAAGGTCTCGATTTTACATTTCTTTGTATTGTTGGAAATTCAATAAAAGTTTGTGAAAGTTAAATGGCAGAACACAGTCTGGACACGGATCAAGTGGCAGAGTGGCACCAGGATTAGCACTTCAACACTGTGCCTGGGAACACAAACCAGCAGATGTGCCTTGTAGTGCAGCTGCTGGTGTGAATGCAGCCTAAATGGCAAACCAGGGTATGGACACACATTGAGTGGCTCTGCCCGCGATTTGGACCTCTGCTCGATGACAGTTTTACTCACCAGACCTCCTTGAAGTTTAGTTCACTACCCCTGTAATATAGCTTTTGAGAACATTCACAGATAAATATGCATATCTTTCAGGAATATTTACAACTACTATTTCTCAGTACACAGGTGACTTCCTTGTCATCTGAAAAAAAAATCTGTCATAATTAAACCAAGTCTGAAGACATGAGGAAACACCAATTTAAGCAGCAATGTAGTCATGGAAAAAAATTACTAGTACTTACATTTGTCCTGATATTAGCTTACACAGAAGATTAGGAAAAGGAGGCAAGCACCAAGATCCATTCAGGCTTTGCCTCAGTGCACATGTGCAGGTTGTGAAGAGGACAAAGCCAATTGATGGCTCATCACTGTGCTGCGATTCCTTTATTGTCCAATAAGCAAGCTATCGGTGTGTTCTTTACCAAGCTGTGCTTCTCATGCTGCACTGGAGGTCACATAGCTGGCTGTGCTGTCTAGTTGGGGTGCTGGATCACAAAGCTAGCTCTACAGAAAATGTAGGTATTTTGGATGGTAAAACCATTCCTGTGTATGCTGTGCATTTATCTGCTTGCCAGTGGCTTGACTTTGAACCTCTCTTAGCCTGTAATGGTAGCACAGAATGTTATAAAAGCCTAATGTTCAATGCAGGGTCAGGAATCTTGCATGCATACTGTACAAATGATTTTCAGTAGCTCTTTTACATAATGTGACTTTTTAGTTTAGGTTTACATATGCTTTAAGTCTACTTAGGATACATATACAGTATATTGCACACTGATCTAAGTCGTAAATATAAATATGTAGCTAATAGAAATAACAGTTGTGAAAATCACACCTTTTTCATTGAATGGGGTATGCCACGCAAGTAAGTAGTTATCTGGCTTTAGATGGGAGCATCCTTCAATGGTTGCTGGGTCTGGTCTCCGTCCCTTTAGTTTGTCCACTGTATCAACATAGTGCTTCACCATTGCACGGTAAAGGTCTTCCAAGCACCAGTAGTCTGTAGTGAAGTAAAAACAATTTCCAGACACAACAGTATTAAGTAATCAGAAATATTCAGTTCCTTGACTTATTTAGAATATTACAGTGTTATTGTATATATACGTACTGACATGTCTATATACTGATAGGGGACAGCTCAAAGAGACAAGTGTGATGTATAGCAGCTTTGCTAACTCCGATAGCAGTAACACTTAGGCCATGTAATTTGATGGTGGGTTATATGTCATCACAAAAAAGCAAAATAAAAACATTGGCCAAAATAGAAATACAATTTTTATTTACTTAGGCTTTATTGTGCTGTCTAGCTGTTGCCAGGTCCCTCTCCTTCTGTACACTGCATGCATGCATTTAGTATACACAGAGGGCAAGTGGTAGCACAGAGAGATGCCATTTGTTTTGCTTGGGTGAAAATTTCAAGGCACTCCTGAGGAAGCCAGAAGGCACCTTGGTTGAGAAAGGCTGACGGTGCTAATTTCTGTCCATGCAAATCTAGCTTGGTATACTATGTTTTCCTGAGTGTAACACAAAAATGGGAAAGCAAGCTTTCTAAAATTAAAAGGTAAACTTTCACTACTTTATTCTATAAGTGCTTATTATCATTATTATTGCTATTAGTTGTATTAGATAAAGATAAGAGATAGAGTAACATATCTTTAGGTGGTTTTTGTAGTGAACTGAAGTTTTAATGGATTTCAGTCTTTGTACTGTTCATCAACCTGGCAATTCTTATCTTTCTAACCCTGTCCAAGTTTATTTTCAGATAACTTGCATTCCCTCTTGGTGAATAGTAAAACTAAATTTAGGCCACTCTTGGCTGAAGATTAGACAGTGGCATTAAAGCAAGTGCCCAACTTATCAGACAAAAGGCAGAGAACATTCCGGGTTCCGTATATATTTAGATTTGGAAGAAGTGATAACATGATACCTGATTACAGCACGTCTTTTTATGTTCTCTACATTATGCATATATAGACCTTCAATAATGTCTCCCAATGACAAATAATATTTAATATTTTACAGCATCAGTAAAAATACATACAGTGGGTATGGAATGAAAAATACGACCTATAGCATCCACTCCTTATTGTACAGCTTTTATTTCCTGACTGGCATAAAAAAGTGGACATAGCATATAGTCCGTTGCTTTGTTGAAGAAAATGTATTGTGTATTGTGTGTACTGAAACCTGTCTAAGACACCACCTCCTATATTCGTATGGAAACATAACAATAATATATTGTAGTGGGACTTTTAAGATGTCACTAAGACAAATCGACTAGTCTTAAATAAATAAAATAATATTTTATTTCTATACATTTTACAAATGTCATAAAATATTTTAAATCACTCAGATTGTAAATGGTTATATACTGTATACAACACATAGATATATTCCTATCTATGCACCTTCTATAACACATGGATCGGCACAATTGACATATTTTTAAAGGAATACATAATCTTGACTTAAAGTGATATTAAAGTCAAAAGGTTGTTAAACTATTTAAAATGCTGATTAGATCCCTTACAATAGATTCTTTACTTCTCCAAGCTAATACATGGAGTGCTGCCTGTATATTGCTCTGTCCCTTGTAATCCAGTACTGGACAAGAAGTTCAGCAAAGATAAGCTGAAAGAGTTGGCGCTGTTTGAAAACATGATGACTATTATATTTGCATATATGTATATATTGTTATCAGGGGCCTGCACTATGGTAACAATCTCACCAAGCTGCTGTGCTAAAAAAGTGTACAATTCACACCAATTAATATTGCAGTGCAATTTGAAAAATATATATATGTATATAGATATATAGGGATATATGTATGGGTTGTATATGCGACTTTCACATGTCATAATTTAAGTGATTCAAATTATTTTAAGACATTTTTAAGATGTATACAAATAAATATTCTTTTAGTTCTTATTTTTTTTAGACTAGTTGATTTATCTTATTGACACCTTAAAAGTCTCATAGTATTATATCATTGTTGTGTTTCCTTAGTGGTTTTGTACAATTTGTATAATATTGCCAATATTAAAAACGTAGAATGTTTAAAAATATACAGTATATATTTTCAAGTACAAATAAGATATTGTATATTAATAGTTTGTAATATTTTAGCCAGAAGGGGGAGCTTTTGGCTCACCTATTTACATCTGTTTTCCTACAGTCTTGTTTACAGATTTCAATAGTTCAAGCTGCAATTTACACACACAAATGGATGACTCATCACAGTGATTAATTTCTCATTGCATGGTTCAGTCCATTATCAAAACAAGCAATTCATCTGTTGTGCTAACTCTTCAGCTAATCCCTGGGGCTCTTGGAATCCTCTATCAGATATAAATGTATATTGGCAAAACCAGTTGGATTCATGAACACTTGTAATTGTAATTTTACCCTAATTGTAATTGTAGCCGTTACCCTAAGGAACCATCATTTTAAATAATGTCAATTCTAGCCACAACTTATTTGTTAGTTTTAGAGCAGAATAGGGAAGAGTCACAGCCTTAGTTGTCACAAGGACATGAAGTAATGGAAAATCTAATTATTGTTAATACTGACAACAACACAAATATATTTTTAGTAGACATGCTGAAGTTGGGCTTTACAAATCTCTTTAATATCCCAACTCAGCTTTTATAGTGCAGTGCAGCTCTAGGTAGGAACACACTTCACTTGTAAATGTATCTAGATTTTTAGAGAAAACACCTTGAATAAGTGATTCTATTGCTGTCTGTATTCCTGCTGGAGATTTCACTTCATGTCCCTGTGACCACTGTCTCTGAAACAGAAAGCAACGTATCTGGGAACACCTGTCACCACTGGAAACTAAAATAAGGTTCTAACCTACTCCTGCTATATATTGTAAACCCTCATTGTTTGCATTGTTTATATAATAAACCAATACTTACTACAATACTTCAGAAGAAACAATACTCCAGGAGAAACATTAGGTATCTCATTGTCATGGTTTTTGGCAAAGGATGTATACTGCCATATTACTGAAATAGTGACCAAGGGATTGTTTTACTATAGTATTAGTTTTAATCTGTTACCAGCAAAGTTTCAGTTCCTAATTTAATGTGCTTCATTATTTGTATGGTTTTATATTACTCCAGTGTTGTCAATGTATTCAGAAAGGCTTTGTAAACAAGGTAAGCTTGTGTGTGGCCCTGGATGGGCTTCAGGATGCTCAATAATTGTTTACCTTCTAGACAGCCATATATAGGTTCCAGTAATAATATATAAGTATAATATGTTAACACACGGCACAACAAAGATTACTGTATAATAATATATAATATTATTATTGTATGTAAGAGGTGCTGTGTTACATTGCTGTTCCTTCCAAAGCCCCACTGGCATAATTCCATATACTTGTACAGGACATGACGCCATCCTCCTGTAGCCCTCTGTGTCTTGCTAACAGCTGTCATATTTGCAGCAACTACATGTTGCCATGTTGTTAAATTGATACATTTTGTTATGACCAATATAAGACATGGATTAAAGATTTATTGTTAGTAAGCATCAACATAATAGTGTAATCGATTGTATGCATACATTGATAACTTGAAGAGCATAGTCTATTCAAGCCCAGTTCGTGCTCAGACCAATGTTTAGTAAAGTCACTCTGAACCAGCCATTCTCAACCAGGGCAGCTTCCTCATGGTGCCTTGAAATGTTGTGATGGTAGAAATCTAATGTGAAGGGGACATTGTTGTGAAAGGGAGGATTCAGATGTGACAGGGAGGATTCTGGTGTAAAAGGAGAGCTCTGATGTGAAGGGGGAACCCCCCCTTTTTTGTGTGTTTTTGTGTGGGGTCCCCCTTTAAAAACTTTCTGGTGTCAGGGATTTCCTGTTAACATTTACCATATTTACACCTCACTGTACAGTAGCATGGTGGTCAATGGGAAGAATTTCCACCATTACAGATAGCAAAAAAGATCATTGCTGTCAGTGGTTACTTATCTGAGAGGAAGAAATTGGGTATCTAATCTAAACAGGGTATGTGCATATTAGACCAAAAATTGATTTACCTTATGGCTTCATTTACACTTTTCTGTATTAGTGTGCTACATTTACAAAATCCTACTTTCTGAATCTTTGGTATGATTTTCAGCAAAACACCATCTGTAGTGATAAATTACTACACATGTAAAATACACTGCACTACAACTGTACTGCATGAAACATGCACATAAGTGAATGTAGCCTGGGTTAAATGTCTAATAATAATTGTGATAATGAATCTGAACATTGTTAACTGATGTATATTTGGAAACTCTTTGAGGAGCTTTGTGATCCCTATAAAGTTTGAACCACCATATGAAGTACCTCTGAACCTATAGCATCAAGCATCAGCAGTGCCTACAGAAGCTCTCAAACGTTTGTGCAGTGTAATAATGTTGCATCAAGTATTTTATCCATTCTCCTATGCATTTTCTGTGAAAATGGATAGAAAACAAATTACTTTTCTCATGTTCGGTAGGGCCCCTAAGTTTAGACTGGGGAGCTACAAGTTAAGCATCACTTCTTTAGATATCGTTGTGTAGTATAGGATCAGCAGTGAGGACCAGCATTTGGTATGTTCTAAACCAGAAATAGTGCATAAAAGTACAGCTGAGCAAGTTAAGTACATTTTATAATGGATTTACTGTATGTAGTAATGGAAAATGTGAACATAGTAGTTAACACCAAAGTATTCTTATTTGTTTTCTTCATGCATTTAGTCCATTTATGCTTACTGGATATGCTGTAGTCCTAGGTTCAGCGCCTACTTTTAGCATGGAGATCACATGTTGCCCCTGTATTTATGTGGCTTCCCCAATACAATCCAAAAATATAAAGACAGGTTTATGGCCTTACACCATGTCAATATGCTTGTGCAACTAAGGTTTTAGATTTGTTGTTCAGAGAGCATACAGTGGTAATATGGTATCCGTTTCTATATGAAAGATCTACATGAAATAAAAAAAAAAATGACAATGTTCTGAGACATACTCTTCCTGGATACTGGGAAGGGTGCTTCTCCCTTCCTTATGGTTGGTGCATACATGCCTTTTCCTAGGGGCGTCTGTACACTTTTCGCTACTTGAGACCCGGAAGGGAGGGGAGGGGGTGCTGGTGGTGCACATAATGGGGGGAAGTTTTTTGGGTGCGGGCAGTGCACCTTACTGGGGGGAGGTTTGCACGGTACTGCTGTCGGCGTCCTGTCCAGCTCACTGACGTCACTGGTTGCCAAGAGCTGGGTGGCACCCCAGCCAGAGCCATCACTCTCAGCTCCTGGCAACCAGTGACATCACTGAGCTGGGTGGGATGCCAGCCAGAGGGTCACCCACAGCTCTGCCTTCTCTCCCCATCTAAGCTTAAGACTGCACACTAATATATGGGGAAACGATTATATTGTATTTCACTAACGGATTTATACATGATCACACATCACTTGACATTGAAACTCTGTACCCAGCTTGTATTCTATTGTTATCATTACCTTTGGTAAAGAAAATGGTAATGTTATACATTTCTTTTTTTTTTGTAAATCTCTTGCAGTCTGTAATTTTTTGAGTGAAATAGCTGAAAAAGACATATAAATGCCCAGGTTATGGTGACACTCAGAACAAGGTTGCTCTGAATACGATGTAGTACGTGCAGCATTCTTGATACTTTGTTGATTCAGGGCTTGTTCACACCATGTCCGGTGTTTTTCTTTACACCCCACCACACATTTACTGTATGGCATGAACAAGCCCTAAAAGATTTCTGATAGGACAATTGCATTGCATCAAGAAGCTATCAAATGTGTACATCAGTGCTGACTCTCAGTTGTCAAGTACTCTAATGTATATTATATAATAAAATCATGTTTTTACTAATGCTATGCTTATACATTCCATGGATATAATATAATACTATCATAGGTCTTTGGAAGAGCTGTAAAATGAATGTGTTAACTTGACTGCACTTTAAATAAATATGCTCATACACTTAATCAGCATCACATTTCCTTGGCAACTGACCATTTTCAGAAGCAGATTATGTTTGTGAACCTTGCCTGCTTTTCATCTCTTGAATTCAGTACTCCATAGCGTAAGCTTGGAATGAAGAGTCAAAGAAATTACACAGCAGAGATACATTTCCAGTGTAAATACTAGAACGTACACAACTTTGTGTACTGGTGGCATAATTCAGGTTACCACAAGAGGGAAAGATGTTGTTGCCTTAATAACACACACCTTGAAGACAATGCCTTACCTGTGACACAGCAGAGATACATTTTCAATATAAATACTAGAAATTACACAACTTTGTGTACTAGTGGTCCTGGTGGTAGAATTTAGATAACCACAAGAGGGAAGGATGTTGTTGCTGTAATAACACACACCTTCATTGAAGACAATGCCTTACCGGTGACACAGCAGAGATATATTTTCAATACAAATACTAGAAAGTACACAACTTTGTGTTCTGGTGGTACCAGTGGTAGAATTTAGATAGCCACAAGAGGGAAGAATATTGTTGCCTTAATAACACACACCTTCATTGAAGACAATGCCTTACCTGTGACAAGAGCCTCTGCAGTGGCCATATGCATTAGGGTATTGTGGCTGATTGGCCATTTGTCTGCTGATAGCACCAGCTTGTCAATACCTCCACGTACTTTCAGTTCCTCCTGAATCTTTACACCTGAAGAACAGATTTCCCAGCTGAAGTTTCTATATCCCAAAGAGTCCCCGACTGCAGCCAGCAGCATAGCAGATGTGAACTTCTCCATGATTACAGGACCTTGCGCCTCGTACTCCTCTTTTGTCTGGCATCTACTGGGTCTAACTTTAGTGTCACTCTTTGGCTGGCAGAGCTTCTGTCCCTGACTATAAAAGGTAGTGCTACCATTATCAGAACCTGCAACATCCTCCCCTTTGCTGAACACATCTCTGCAACTGGACATTGTCCATTCACAGTACTAACAGAGTGTGCAAGCACAGACTGAGAGATTAGACACTGCAAACATAAATACCACCATGACTGTATTCTACCTAGGTGACTTTATCCCCTACTGAACTTAGTATTTCCTTTATGTCAAATACGCATGGGCTCTGATCACAGCAGTCACACACTGTATCATATCTTATTACCAAAAGCCTTGTCAGAGTGTTTTTGCATATAGCTACTGCTAGCAAGCAGTAGCTATATGCAAAAACTTAAAAAAAAAAAAAAAAAAACCTTTCCAAACAGGTTTAAACTTACCTGTGTCTTCGCCACGCGCTCTCGTCCGAACATCTGAAGAATCTCAGGTGGCCGCAAAGGATCTTACAGCGGGTGTTTGCGCAGTTCAGATGTTCAGCCGGGAGACAAGGTAAGTTTATGGAGCAGCGTGCACCCGCACAGACTCCGTGGGACGTCATAGGTGAGGAGGACAGAGGAGTCAGCGCTGGATCCGAGACCCGCATCAACACTGGAGGGACTGATGAAATCTACACTAAAGAAGAAGATGATCGGATTAAGAGGCATGATTTACACTAGTCCGTACACTAACATTGGGGGGAGATATCCGTTAATGTTCTTTTAATGCTGAAAAAGGTTAATGCCGAGGTCAGCACAAACATATCAGATGTTATTTGTTACAAGGAGTAGAAAAAGAAAGGAGATGATGTATTATAACAACAGAAACTGGAAAAGAGAAAAACTTACAAGTAAATGATGAATGATAAAATAGGAATTCAATAAAAATAAAGAGGTAACAAACGAAGGAAGGCATGGCAAAGAGGTGAAGTAAAGAAGATATGGAATGCAAAAAAAAAAAAGTTCTTAAAGGAGTTTTAAAGTCCCTTTATATACTGTCCTGTTATAACATCAGCATTGTAATATGAATACATTCTATATTTTTTTATGATAATACAATCAATGTTTACTTAACCATTTTATATAGCGAGTGTTGCCTTCTGTCTGCCCATCACTTTCCACATCTTCCTGGATTCCCAGTGTGCTTTGCAGCTCTTTCCCTGCTGATTGATATGATATAATCTCGATTTTTCAGGACTATATAGCCCATCATGAATTGCTTCCAGCAAGCAATAAAGATGCTACATTGTTCAGATGTTGGGTTATAGTTTAGAAGGCAGGCTCTGTGAATGGTGACACAAGGAAGTGCATATTACATAGTTTACATAGTTAGTCAGATTGAAAAAAGACACAAGTCCATCGAGTTCAACCTATAGAGATATTCACAGGGCTGAGTGAAATGGTGCCAGTGTATTGAGGAAGTACATCCTACGGGCATCTTTAATAAGTAAGTTATTTATCGCAAAAGTACATTTTCACTCCAGAGACAACGTACCCCTGTCAGGAGCCTTGCTTCCCAGGGGGTTCAGGGATATCTTGCCTCTCTGTTTTGAAAGAGGACCAAAGCACCCTTGTGCACTTTTTTGTGTTCTGTGATTTCACAGTTCACTTTTTTTATTCACAGGGGTTTGTTCTACGATGCATGCACACGGGATTTGAAAAAAAAAAAAAGAAGTAAGTCTACAAACTTCTAGATGGATTTAGTTATTAGGAGTGGGATAGAACTTATGGAAATTCAATATAGACATATTTATTTAATGTTAGATTATGAACATAGAAACCATTTAAAGCTGAACTCCAAGAAAACAAACAGCAGCAGTAGCAGCAGTACTAGCACTAATCGCAAGGCAGTCTGCGACTGGATAAGGGAAGGGGAGGAGCGGGGCCGATGAACATCACAATCTCTACCTCGTCCAGTCACAGAACGCCTTGTATTCTGTGAAAAGTGGGAAGGAGTCCACTGCAACGAAGAGAGAATTTTTACAGTAAGCAGCAGCCTTCAATTTACAGTATATGGAGTTAACTTATATGACTGTTGAAAATGACTGTATGAAAATAAGTTCATCTTTAACTGAAAAGCCGGAAAATGAAAAAAAAAAAGGTAAGAATCTGACTTTCAGGACTACAAACAGCTAAATACACAGATAAAATACATATAATGAAGGCATTTCACCTGCCAAAAGAATTGTATTATATGTATCTGTTCATCCATTCCTCAGCTTTGTATAGCTCTGCCACACCGCAAAGCCCTTTCTGGCAGGAAACAAGACCTGATTTTTCTCTGTGGCAGTTCTGTAACACATACAAGTTTTTTTTCTATTCCCCAGCCTGCAACTGGACAGTAAAAGGAGAATCAGCAGACTAATAAGTTATTTTCTCTATCACTGTGCTCTCTCCTTCTATCAGCATTTGGTTTATGATAGCATATAATTACTACAGTAGACCCGATTGGCTCCTAGTGCTACAAACTAAATAGTGCTGCTTCTTCCTCCCCCTCTCTTAACCCTGCTGTACAGAGGCTGATGTCAAGCCATTACACATACAGTGCAGTACAAGTGCTCAGACACCTCTACAGCTACTCAGATCACTTGTATTCAAAAATCCAGGCAATGCTTTAAAAGCTTTTACGGGTTATCAGTTTAGATCTAACCAATAATTATTGCTCTCACTTTGGCGTACACCTAACATGCAATGTCTGTGTCAGTATGTGCGTGGACGGGGACGGGGTCTTTTAAACAAACATTTTGGGGTGTTTTTATATTTATTTGATTAAGCTTTATTTTTTTTAAACCTTTTTAAAACATTTTTTACTCACCTTTATTGCTATCACATAGACGGCTCACAAGCCCCCATGTAATAGCACTTTAGTGGTGACAGGTCCTCTTTATTAGACCCCTACTATTACCTTTGGAGCCCACAGATCGTGCTTGATCAGCTTCTTCCCTGGCCTCTCAAAAACAACGTTGCTTCCGGGTTCATTCGGCGGTAAGGAGATCAGAGATCAGATGTTTGCTGGTCTCTCTCCCCTCTCTCTGCTAACACCTGCGATGGCATTCCTGGGGCTGCAAGGGGAGCAGCAGAGCTTAGGAAACATGGCAGGGGGTGTCGGCCGGGTTGGGGGGTGCACATGTCGAAGCCTCTGGAAGAGGTCAAGCAGTTTAACACATTTAAACAGACTCTCTTCTGCTTACAGGGGGCCCACTGCCGCAATGTGTGTTCAACACCTAGGCTACTGCACAAGGTTTGCAGTAAGCTGTCTGCTGTCCCTGGTGCCGTTTACGCCCCATGAGGTGGGCTGCTCATGTACTATGTGATGTGAAGTCCAGCCTAGCTGAATCAGCTGAGCTGGACTTCACATCACACAGTACATGAGCAGCTGGCTACCCGGGGCATAACCTGTCTGCTGATCTGCTCTGCATCAATAAAGGGAACCACCGGGCCAGCAGACAGCTTACTGCAAACACTGCGCCAAACATGCCGCCCCCAACGTGAATAAATGAGGCAAAAATCACAGGTGTCCTCATTGTAGGGACAGCCCTGATCATTATAATGAATTAAATCTAGTATTATGTGATTTGGAATAGTTAGAAGAGACCAGGATCAAATGGCTGCCTGTTCCAAAATGGGGTGAGAAAGGACACGCTGCTGGCGGACCTGGAGAGGATCCAGCGGCAGCGCCTTGGTGTCTGGAGGGATGGCGGCAACGCGTTTCGAAGAACAAACTCTTCTTTATCAAGCCGGTATGTAGGACTTGTAGGATTGTTTTTGGGTTGGGCTCCTACGGCCTTAGTGAACATCCGGGCTGTCCTCCTCGGTCCCGGCGGTGTGTGTCATTTTGCACTCACCACGCTCCTCACTTAGACCCCTTTAGAACCGCCTACCCCCTTGTCACTGAGGCTCGTCGCTGGTGGCCTGTCCTCCGCTCCCCTCCCGCACGGGTTGTTCCTCTGACACATGGTTCTATACTCAGGCACCACAGATTCAATGTGACCAGGGTATTCAACCCCTGTATCAACCACCACAGCTTTCACCCTACCAGTCCGGGACCACCAGTTTCACCCCGAAACGGCCGCCACCAACATATATCCACGTTAAAGACATCAAGCATCCGCACAACTCTTGGACACAATTTTTTCTCCACCAAGTGAACTTTTTCCACCTGGAATTCCACCCCACCACTATTCCAGAGTCCCCTGGATCGTCATCCCAACTCTCTGTCGATGACATTGCGCCACCAATTACTTTGCGGTGAGTTACTACACAACACACATTGATTCATGCTTTATGATCACTCAATTCCTTTATGCCATTTGTTTCCCGATCGGATTGCCTCTGCCATCATTCGGACAACTTGATACCAGCTACTTCCTGATCCATCCACCACCTGTCATCTTTATCCACCTCGCTACAAACGACAAGGACTCCATGATCACCACTCTGACCCTCATCGATGACATCACGCCACCACCATCCTAACGGTGAGTGGCTACATATCATTTTGTGAGTTACCGTTATTGATTTTTCACCTCTCCATTTGCTGTTTATATCCCACGTTTTGTCCTCTGCGCTACCAATTGGAAGTTTTCCGCACCACCATCCCTTGGATCCACCCTCGCCTATGCACCTTACTTCCACTCTGCACCGTTCATCCTCCACCCTTCTAGGCCCCCCTCCACTTTGACCCTCACCTCTCAGATAGGTGCAACTCAGTTGTGGCGCTTCCTTCCCTACCTTTTGTTCTGCTTTGAAAAAACAACGGACACCCCGGTCCGTACACACGTGAAGCAGCACACTGAGCTGTCCACCTCACTGTCCAAACCTCCATAAACCCCCCCCCCCGTAGAGCTTTGTGCCACAGGACAATTCTCCCAATTTTTCATTAAAACGTGTGACCATGTGACCGGTCACACATTCCACCGCTGTAAAAACTGG